CAGAGGCAATGCTGAAGCCTACGTACATTCCCTCATGTTTTTTTAGTGCTGCTTTTGAGCCACAGACGTGACTCACTTGGCTCCGTTTTTGGCTCCAGATCGTTGAAACTGGAACACGAAACTCACACTCACACACCGACAGCTGCGACACAGGATGTCATTTCATCATGTCCAGCCAGCCTTACCAGAAGCCAGTTCTGTCCTCCGATTCTGTCCTCTTGAAAATCCACACGCCTTTTCGACTGTTGCGAGCAGCTGCCAGCGTGCCACATGCCATCGTAAAACCGCCATGGGACGGAAAGGTCGAGGAAAAGGAAGAGGTGGTGGTCGTGGAAGGAGACAAATCTCCACCAGCCTTGATATCATTTGATTTTGGGGATAGGTCAAACATGGTCAAAGCATTTTGCTTCTGAACCCAATACCCAAGAATTCGATCAGTTCTCTGGATCAGTCTGGTACTGGTAATGTATGGTAATGTGGCAGCTATGCCGTCCCTTCATATTCTAATGTTCATGATTTAGCTTGTTTGTGTGGTTGCCATTGATGAAGAAATCATACGTGGATCTGACAGGAGAAGTGGCATTGAGAAATATGGTCAGGATGATGCGGATGCATTTCTTGCCTTAGATGAGCAATCCGGAGAGGACAGGGGTTGGAAGCAATTCAGCATTGTTCAAAACCCTTGTTGATCCTTGTTCGTTGATGATAGGGGTTTTACTTCATCCACTCCCCGAATCCCTACTTATCAACCTACCAGTATATTGGAATCTCCGTCAGTTGGGTGTTGGCACACATTTCCAATACACAATACCAGTCCCACAAAATTCCAGCCCAGTTCTTTTTCAGATCGCCAACCCAGCATCCAGCCCGAGGAAGCTGAGCACGAAGATGAAGAAGATGAGGACGTCATGGCCCTGAAACCCTTTGAAGATGAGAGCAGCAAGCCGCGAGGGTCGCGAGGGGCGAAGAAAACTGCCAAGTCCAAGTGTGCGGAGTCGGAGGAGTCTGAGCCTGACCTGGAGCCATTGAGCAGCTGGGCTGCCATAAAACAAAACCCCTGTTGATTGCTTAAGGTTATAGGGGATTATACTGCCTGGTTTAATAGGGACAAGCCACAATAGGACGATTTATTAACCAACCAGTATGATAGGATGGGATGGGGGTATGTTTCATGGCTCATTTTTGTTGCGTGCTTTAACTTGTTCAGCGGGCAGAAAAGGAGTTTTTGTGAGTAGGACATGGGTGTAGACTGTATGATTATATATATATAATTATAATTATATATACACCGTGTATAAATCATAAAAGTGATAGAACCCAGTGTCCCACCAGACTGGCTGGTGATTTCAAAGAGTTTTGGAAGAATGTGAAGAAGCATCAATGGAAAATGATGGATGAGATGATTGCCCTTGAGCCCATGGTCGCTTCCAGCCAGGGCCTTTCTGCTCACAGGTGACCCTTGGGGACCCGATCTTTCTGAAGATCACTTGTTCTATTTTAGTGGTCAGATAGTGGTTCACCCCCAAGTGGTGGTGTTTATGGGGGCATATAAATTATGTAATCTCTATAATATATATATAATATATGCACGATTATGCACGCATATATATATATATATAAATTGTATATATATATATATACACAGACATATATATATAATATAAACATAAATATTGTGTATATATATACGCATGATATAGTTGTGTATGCATAAGTACAAACAGTACAGTATATACATTGAACCTAGGCTCGTATATCCTCTGCTTCCCGATCTTGTGATCGTGACGTCCAGTGAAAATTGAGATTTCCATCCGACCGATTTTGTATGAGTTATGACTTATGAGGCTATTCTGCCACCTGGTATCACCTGGTTAATGTTAATGTTAATGTGGTAAAGCCATGTAAACCCAATGCCATCTGCACATCCCCAAAGTCAGCATAAAAGGTTGGGATTTCAACCATCCCCAGTCATGGCAGGTGGCCATTTATGGCATTGGGTTTCCCACAATTTGGGGATTCTCACCAGCGGGGATTCCACAACAAGTCGTCGCGCACCGCGACAGGCAAGGGTTGGGGCCGGCACGACTTCTATGGCGGCGAGGATGCTGGAGACGACTCGGAAGGTGCCAGTGATGAAGATCGAACCTTGAAAGAGGCGAAAAAACTTGAGGAGTGACTGGTCCCCCGGCCTCTGGGGATTTCTCAAGATTTCGGTCATGAAATCTGGGACGATGTCGCACGATTAAGCAACATATAGCGACATAGAACGTGGGGATCTAAGCAATACTCAAATCTTTGGATTCTCGTCTTAGAAGAGTGGGCAGTTGTTCGGCTGAGATTGGGGATTTGAACGTGGAAGAAGTGGCAAACCGTTTTTCAGGAAATGGGTATGGGTCAATACCTATAGATACATTTTTAGTGGGATGAACATCCATTTACCAGCTATTTTGGGGTTCACTAGGTACCAGGGTTTTGACCCATCCCCAAATCAGATAATATCGAAGTAGACATTGCACCCATGGGGCATCGACCAACAAATGACTTCTGTTGAGGGACGTCCCTCTGGGACAGAGACCTGCAGGATGAAGATGGACGAAGTGAACGTCTATTAATATAGAGTCTATACAACGCGTTGATAGGTTTTTCTTGCAACATCTTGAAACCATGTGTTTGTTGGGAGTTCATTTTGTCAAGCCTAGCCCCGTTTTCCGTAGTTTAGCATCTCATATGTGTTGCTTAAATCCCAATTTTCTTTTATGGTTCAACTCGCATAAATCGCTGTGTTTGGTTGCTTATACGCTATACGCCCACATAGATCCATACATATATAATATTTATATTTAAAATCATTTAAACATATATATATATATAAATGGTACCCCCCCCAACAAAAAAACCTATGCTTCAGTTGATTTTGTTGGTATTTGCGATACTTTTGATGAATTTTAGGGGATGAACGGTGACCTCTGATTTTTGTACCAAATTCAGCTTGAGTGGGGGTATCATAAATATATATATATACGTGCAGATACAAATATAGAATGTTTCACATGTATATTTTCAATCAATACATTGTGTATATAAAAATCCAAAAAATCCAAAAAAACCAAAGAGTCCAAAACATCCAAAAAATCCAAAAAAACCAAAGAATCCAAAAAAATAAAAAAAACCAAAAAAACCGACCCTATGTCTAGAATCTTGGGGGATCTCCATGTGGTCTATAGTTTTGGATTTTTGGATTCTTTGGATTTTTTGTTTTCTTTTGGATTTTAATTATATATTCACAAACAAATGCAGTCTGCTCGCTTCTTGACAGCCATCATTGTCCATCAGCAATCCCTGACCTTCATCTGTTTCACGATGCCACTGCTGCCTCGCGCATGTGCTGCGGCCAAGCCGAAGCGCTACTTGGAATGGTCTCACGCTCAGCCAAGGCATTCTGAATAAATATGGACTTCTCTTCCTGGTATGTCCGGCAATGATTCATTGTCTCAAGCGTCTTCCCCCAGCATCATTACCAGTTCTGCTTCCAAGGCATTCTGAATAAATATGGACTTCTCTTCCTGGTACGTCCGGCAATGATTCATTGTCTCAAGCGTCTTCCCCCAGCATCATTACCAGTTCTGCTTCCGAGGTCGGATGATGGCATGATGGTTGACGACAGCGGGTGTGAGCATCTTGTCTGAATGAAGCCTGTGTCACTGCATTCTTTGCAAGCTACCAGCAACCCATAGGGGCACCAGGACTTCACTAGCACTTCTTTTCATGGCATGTCCGGCATGATTCATTGTCCCAAGCGTCTTCCCCCAGTATCATGGCTCGCTCTGCTTCCGAGGTCGGATAATGACATGACAGGTGACGACAGCGGGTGTGAGCATCTTGTCTGAATGAAGCCTGTGTCACTGCATTCTTTGCAAGCCACTAGCAACCCATAGAGGCACTACCATGCTTCACTGTGTTTTTGATACTTTCGTCACAAACCCCGACAACTTCCCTCGCATCAGGTCTGACTTCTCCATGGTAACCCACGGAGAAATGGCTCCGATGACACCTCTGTGCTGGTGTTTCCAACACCTACCACACCGCCGGAACTTTTGGGCCCGGGCACACCACCAGGCCCACCGCCGCCAACCCCACCAGAAGCATTTGGACCTGGGACACCACCAGGGCCGCCGCCAACGACTTCAACGCCTACTACACCACCGGAAGCCTTCTTCAGGTCTATGCCGACTGGCATGTGGCTGATTCCTGGCGATTGGTGGCCGGCGTCTCCAGCGAGTCCGGATCTTGATTCTCCACCCCGCACACCAGAAAGTGCATAGGAAATCGGAGCAAACTTAATAACATATGTTTCAATTTCTGAAGAAAAATACTGTCAACTCACTGTTATATATATATATATATGTATATTAGTTCTTCCTTCACTTTTCTGAAACTTTGGGTTGTCCCCCCAAGCCATCCAGTCACCAGTTGGATCGCGGGGAAAACACCAAGTGCTTTTTTTCCTCTGTGAAAGCGTCATGGGTTTGTCCCTAAATAGGGCGCAGTACCCCACATTCAGCATCATATAATTAGCCATGTGTTCAATTAAAAATATTGAGCAACAATGGAACATAACGAAGGATGAGTCCGATGAGAAACCATCAGATTCATGCTTATTTCCATGGTGATTTCAGTGATTTCCATGGATTTTATGAACATTTACCCTCTGGTAAACTAACATAGCTATGGAAAATCACAATTTTTAATGGGAAAACTCACTATAAATGGCCATTTTCAATAGCTATGTGAAATTACCAGAGGGTATCTCCATTTTCAGGACGGGGGATACGCTTTGGATCAGGAGCTCCGTGCCTTGCGACTTGAAACTCTCAGCGATCCTCTGGCTGCGCTGCTGGGCGATGCGAGCGGACCTAGCGAGGCGGCTGAGGTGGGCGATGCGACAGGCTGGGGAACGGTCTGGGCTATACCATGCTATACCCTCTGGTAAACGAACATAGCTATGGAAAACCACTATTTTCAATGGGTAAATCCACTATAAATGGCAATTTTCCATAGCTATGTTAGTTTACCAGAGGGTACCTCTCAATTGTGGCGATAGGGAAAATGATGATCAACTGATCAACTGACTGGGATTTTTAGTCACCCTCTTCTCAGACAACCCCAGATATATATTACTGTAATATATTATATCGTATTAGGGGATACCGATCATTGGGGCAAAACAGAAACATTCACCCGCCTGGTATGGTAAGCGACCATGGTTTGGGGATGAATCACATGCTATGATTGCCATACTTTGGGGGAAACAACATCCTGCCAAACCAGCTATTTTGGGTGAACTGACCAAACGCCATCTGGAGATATAATGGCAAGATAATGGGATATACCGGTAGATTGTAACCAGCGACAATGGGGGATAATACTCGAATGACCCAACATCAAAGTGATTTCTCCAGGTCAGAAGTGAGAAGGCAAAAACCGAGACAGAGACACATCTCCAAAGCCACGTTGGTTCTTCTCCAACTTTAGCCCATTTGGCCTAGTCCAAAAGTAGGAGGTCCCCAAATCCAGCAGTTCCTCAGTTTGAGACACCCACATCATGAGTTGCTCATATATCCCATCATGTTTCCACCAATTGGTTGGTGTTGATTTTTTATTTGCTTGAAACCCCGTGTTTGATCCTTTGGTGTTGACATTGTTGGTGAATAGACAGCAATCTACCCATTTTGTGACTAACCATAACGGAGGAATACCGCGCCTCCTCCTCCTCCTCATCCTCCTCCTCCTCCTCATCCTCATCATCATCATCATCATCAGCATCATCCTTATCCCCATGCTAATCCTTATCCTCATCCTCCTCCTCAAACTCATCCTCATCAGCAAAACCAGCATCAGCAGCACCATCAGCATCATCAATCATGACTATCACCATTATCATTCTGATGTTGAGCTCAAACGACATTTCTTTGGAAGCGACGTTGTAGTACCAGTTTTAAACAGGCATAAATAGGCTCTATTTGCCACTTTGGCTTGCGATTCCCCCGGGGGAGTGGCATGGATTCCAGACAACCCATGGTTCAGAAAGTCAATAATTTTCCCCATAAACCATTGGAAAATATGGTTATGGGATATGGGATACCGGGATACTCGTACCCATAAAATATGGTAAATGTCATAATTTTATGGGTATCCCGGTATCCCATATTTTCAGGCACATCCCATCACTTTTGCCAGGTGCAACTGCGAAGTTGGCAGATGTAGCTGTAGCTGAAGCGCAGTTTGAGTCGATGTTCACTGAGGAGGCAGAGAAGAGTAAGCTGGACAGGGACATTTCTCAGCTCTCAAGTGCCAAGAGGAGCTTGAAAACTCAGACTTTGGCATATTTTTTTCTGTCCAACTTGGCGTTTCTGATGGTTTCTGTGAAACTGCAAAGCAACCCATCTAGCCCATCGTTTCTGGTAGGGGTGTGTACACCTGTGCGTTCGCCAAACGTTTCTGATGAGGAAGAGCTTGTTAAAGAAAGAAGCCCCTGAGCTGCTACCTTTGCTGCAGGATTTCCAGTCCAAACTGGACATGCTGCCTGGATTTGCTGAGTTGTGGTACCCCCCCAGTTATGTTGGTAAACACAGTGACCATAGAATACCATAGATATATTCCCCCGAAATCCGAGTTGGCCTACGAAGCAAGTGCCCCTTAAGATACCGGGGCACCTCGTACCGAAGATGTCGATATTTTGTCCAGCCCTCATCGGTCCGAGGCTATCACCTTTGGTACCTCTTCTGAAACCAGGTGCCCTCTCAGCGCTGCCAGCCTCTGGCGCTGCCTATGCCACCACCAGGATCAGTTTGTTGCTGAATCACTTGGCGAATTTGTCGTTCTACTTGTTGATACTTGGATCTGGTCGAGTGATTTTCCAGTTCATCATGGTCGCTCCACCTAGGAATGGGGAATCTCTTGCCAGAATACATTGGATCTTGCAAGGTAGCGCACTGTAGTTCGGTACTTCGATTCACAACTGGACAAGCTAGGGTTCAGACGGGGAGATATATCTATAGTGATGGGTTGAAGATACATAGATTTACCTATTCTTCCCCATTTGATGGGACATACCTTTATGGGATTTGATATATAATGCATTATATTAATATATAATTACATACATATATACATATACATATACATGTACATGTACATATATATATATATATACATACATACATATGTTCACTGGGTTTCTATCAACTGACTTTGTAAACCAACAAACATCACTGGGGGGCACCCCCTTGGGCCATGGCATCCGAGGATGAAGGCGGAAGGGGGCGAGGTGAAATCCCACCCGGTGGTGTCGCAACTGGTCTGGCTAAAAGAATTAGACGCCCATCTCCAGCCGTTGAACAAACGCCTCAACAAGAAGATCCAAAAGGTGGGACTTGGTCCAGAACCCGGGCAAAATCACAACAAATGGGGATCATCATCCTTTTTTCCCACTACAAACAATATTGTCAAATACGGTCCAATTTGTTCTTTTTGGGAACATCTTCAAATCCATTGGTTAATCGGTTAATCATCATTCTACGCAACAAATTATCACATATTTGGAAGTGCACCCCATTCTCAGACACACTCAGGTGGCACGGGAAGTTCGCAAACGATCGAACACAGCTGTGAAACCCTCGGCCCCCGCGGCCTCCAAACAGCCTGTGGTACCTGAAGCGCCTGTGAAGAGTAAGGCACCCCTAACGCTGGCAGAGCGGTTGGAGAAGCTGAAGGGGAAGGTTCAAAAGAAAGAGAAGGCAGATCCACAGAAACCCTTGGTCCTGGATTCCACCCTTCCCAGCTTGCTGAAATTGCCCAAGCGCCGTGCCCAACTTGGGAGCCAAGATGGTCCGGCGGATTTGGATGACATCGATCCGACCTTGGGAGCTTGGTTGCCCTCCAGCAGTTTATCTCAGCAGCTGTCGGAGGTGCAGCAGCACCTGCGCGAACGGAAGGAGAAGGCGGTGCCGCAAGCTTCGGACAAGAACCCCGAGGCCCGTGCCCCTCAGCAGCGTGAGAAACTGCGCTTGGAGCCGGATACACAAGAAGCAGAAGAGGCTCAGGCTGAGGCTGAGGATGGAGGAGATGGGGTCTGGTGAAATGTCCGTAGAAAAACAATATAATTGCGTCCTATAGTCAACGGAAGTTTGAAGGAACTTCCGTGTTACGGATATTTATGATTGCCAAGAATGAAACAATGAAGGAATGAATTGAATGACTTGAATTGACTTGAATTGAACTGAATTGACTTGAACGAATGAATTTTGAAAAGGAAGTCTCGCACAAAAGCTTCGTTTCCACATCTTCAACTTTCACTTTGTGAGGGAAGTCTTGCACGAAAGCTTCTTTGTAAGTCTCGCACGAAAGCTTCGTTTTCAGATCTTCAACTTTCACTTTTTGAGGGAAGTCTCGCACGAAATGCGTTTTTGAGAGTTAGCGGATGCACGACATGCTGTGTTTTGCATAAAAAAAACGTGCCTCGGAAGATGGATGGGGGATTTTGTCCGGCGGACAGTTGCGGATCATGCTCGGATCGGCTGCGCATTGGAACTGCCAGTTCAGGTTTGCAACTTGAACCTTCAAAATTTGAAGGACGTCTCGCACGATAGCTTCGTTTTTACATTTGCCACTTTCACTTTTTGAGGAAAGTCTCGCACGAAAGCTTCGTTCTCACATCTTCGACTTTCAGATTTTGAGGGATGTCTCGTGCGAAAGCTTCGTTTTCACATCTTCAGCTTTCACTTTTTGAGGGATGTCTCGCACGAAAGCTTCGTGTCCACATCTTCCACTTTCAGGTAAGGAAGTCTCGCAGGAAAGCTTCGTTTTCACATTTCGGAATCTGAGGGAAATCTCGCATTGTAATGGCTGCGTCAAGGTTGCTTGGCGCGGCAGCTGCGTGCGTAATCCGTAATACTATTGTCTTTTGCAGCTGGACATCGTAAATCCTATTGGAGTGCCTGCATCAAGGCTGCGATAGTGATTTGTCAGCAGGTTTTCTCAGTGTTTAAAGCTTATAAAAGCTTGCTGTGTGTAAAATCTTCTCTGTGTAAATGCTTCTCCGTGTAAAAGCTTGCTCTGTGTCAATGCTTCTCTGTGTTAGGGCTTCTGGCTTCTCTGTGAAAAAGCTTCTCTGTGTAAAAGCTTCTCTGTGTAAATGCTTCTCCGTGTAAAAGCTTCCCTAACTCTGTGTAAAAGCTTGCTGTGTGTAAAAGCTTCTGTGTGTAAAGGCTTCTGTGTGTAAATGCTCCTCTGTGTACATGCTTCTCTGTGTTAGGGCTTCTCTGTGTGAAAGCTTCTGTGTGTAAAAGCTTGTGTGTTCAAAAGCTTTCTGTGTAAAAGCTTCTCTGTGTGAACGTTTGCTGTGTGTAAAAGTTTCCGTGTGTAAAAGCTGGCGGTGTGTAAAAGCTTCTGTGTAAATGCTTCTCTGTGTGAAAGCTTGCTCTGTGTAAAAGCTTTCTGTGAATAAAAGCTTCCCTGACTCTGTGTAAAAGCTGGCTGTGTGTAACAGCTCCTGTGTGTAAAAGCTCCTCTGTGTGAAAGCTTCTCTGTGTAAGAGCTTGCTCGGCTTGCTCCGTGTAAAAGCTGGCCGTGTGTAAAAGTTTGCTGTGTGAAAAAGCTTCTGTGTATAAAAGTTTGTCTGTCTGAAAGCTTGCTGTGTGTAAAATCTTCGCTGTGTAAACACCTTTTTGTGTAGGAGCTTCTCTGCGTGAAGGCTTGCTGTGTGCAAAAGCTTCTGTGTGTAAAGGCTTCTGCGTGTAAAAGCTATGTAAAGGCTTCTCTGTGGAGAAGCTTCTGTGTGTAAGAGCTTTCTCTGTGTGTAGAAGCTTCTGTGTGTAAAGGCTTCTCTGTGTAAAAGCTGCTGTGTATAAAAGCTCGCTGTGTGTAAAGGCTTGGCTGTATAAAGGCTTCTCTCTGTAAAAGCTTTTCTGCCCAAAGGCTTCTGTGTGTAGAAGCTTTTGTGTGTGTGTGTAAAAGTTTGCTGTGTGTAAAGGCTTCTGTGTGCAAAAGATTCTCTGGGTAAAAGCTTGCTGTGTGCAAAAGCTTGCTTTGTGTAAAAGCTTGCTGTGGATAAAAGCTTCCCTGTTTCTGTGAAAAAGGTTCTGTGTGTGCAAGCTTCTCTGTGCAAAAGCTTGCTGTGTGTAAACGCTTCTCTGTGTCAAATCTTCTCTGTGGAAAGCCCAGGGGTCGTTTGCTTTTGCGCCGAGATCCGTTTTTGGAGCAGGTTTTCAGCCAGAGGAGAGCAGGGATGATTTGAGAGCGCGCTGAGGAGACCTGAGATGAGGTGTGACAAGCTGTCAAGAGCTGAGATTCGCTGAGGAGGTGTGAGAAGAGCTTAGAAGATGTGAGAGGAGGGAAGAGGAGATGAGAATACGTAAGATGAGCTGACATGATCTGCAGAGAGCTGAGAAGAGTTGAGAAAATCTGAGAAAAGCTGAGAAGCTGGGATGAAAAGAGATGAGAAAAGCTCAAATGACATGAGAAGAGAAGAGAACAGTCGTGATCAGCTGAGAAGAGCTGAGAATGGGAGAGAAGACATGAGATGGGATGAGGTGAGATGCGGTGAAAAAAGCTGAGAAGACATGAGATGAGTTGAGATGAGATGGGATGATACAGACCGCGGTGACAGTGGGATGCAGTGAGCAATTTCCAAGAGAAGCTGCGATGCGATGAGATAAGGTGAAATGAGAAAAGATTCAACATTCAAAAGGCATGGCATCAGATTGAAAGTCAAGAGATTGTTGCTGCAAAGCACGGGAGGCTTGCCTGTCATCTACAGGCACAGCCTGTGCTCCGCTCTATAGGCTCTAATCCTGCTCCGCTGTACACAATATCACATCATATAATATTACATAATACTATATTAATCTAGATTACCTTACTTGATTTTATGTTATGCTTTATTCATTATTTAAACTATATTATATTATTGTAGAGCTTCGTGTGCCGGCGATGCCATAAGGGCTATGTATAGTAGTGTGAGCGTTGGTGTTGTTCACGTGCTCTGCGCGTGTGCGCAGGTGCAGGGCACAGTGTGATGTTCTTGTCATACCGCAGCTTGTAACCACCACCTGACCACACATCTTTTGTTGCATTTTTGTGTTTGTTCTTCTTCTTCTTCTTATTCTTGTTGTTGTTGTTGTTGTTGTGTTTGTCGTTGTTGTTGTCGTCGTCGTTGTTGTTCTTGTTCTTCTTCTTGCAACACAGCTTATTGTCCCCTAAAAAATGTCAAATAGGCAGCCTATGTTGAGCTATGTTGGGCTCATCTTGGGCCCATGTTGGGCCTATGTTGGGCCCATGTTGGTATGTGGCCCCATGTTAACCCATCTTGGGAGCCATGTTGGGGCCATGTTTGGGCATGCCACTGTTTCCTTCCCGGGCCCCTCCTCGAGCCCAAAACCACGTAAAAACTGATGTTTTTGAACATCGCCAAGATAAACTCCGTGGGCACCGAAGGGCCCGAAACACCGTAAAACAAGCTTTTAAACACCGAAAGCAAAAATCGTCGTAAATTACAGGGCCTTCAGTCGGGGGGGAGTCGACACGGGGTGAACCGGGGGTGGGTCGGCGTCAGGGGCGGCGCCCCACAAACCAGCCTGGAACGCCCAGGATGGCAATGAGCAGGGGATGCTTCAATGGGAGGTGGGGATTTGGAACGGGATAACATGGCTGAACTTATTTTTTTTCGAATTCATTTGACATTGGACGTTTTCCAACATGCAATCGCAGTTCGTGGAATGAAAGTCGCCGATTCCCAAGTTTGGGAGCAGGGCAGTCTGCACGATTCTCCAGTACAATTGGCGCAAACCATGGTTAAGGTCAGGTGGACGAAGCAGCAGCAGTTCCCAGCAGCTGAGCGGGCGATGGTGACCATAGTTGTTTTCCATTTTTAGTGACTGCGCGGGTCTTGTCTTAATTGAAATTTGATGAAAAATGAGGGGTTGCGGAATAAAAAAGAGGTCCTGCCTGTAGATTCCCCCTTCATCAACGCACACGCCAGCCGGAACTTCAAACCACCCAAGCAGACCGACCAGCTCTTGCGCATCCCACAGATGCTTTTCTCACCGTCGCCCCTCCTTCGAAGCTGCCTCAAAAAAGCCGACACATCAGTCTTAGTTTTGTACATTGTACAACCAGCCGCTTCTCTTCAAGCTTCAAATGGCCAACAAGCGATTGGCAGTTGAAATGGAGAAAATACATGTTGGGCCACTTCCTGGCAAAGGACTGGGAGCTTGAAATTGAAGTTTCCAGGCCTCGAAAACGGCACCCTCGCCAGCCTGAAACAGCGTGGCAGTGACGGCCGGATCGGCCCCGCGGGGGCGTGCCTAACGTCGCTTTCTGAAAGGAGCTAGAAATTGAAGCGCCCAGGCTTCGAAAGCGGCACCCTCGCCAGCCCGAAAAACAGCATGGCCGCGGGCAGCAGCTGGGGGTGCCTAACGTCGCTTTCCGAACGGTGAAGCAAGGAGCTTGAAATCGCTTTCTGAAGAAAGGACGGCCATACATTACCGAACCTGGCTTCGCTCGCTGTGGAGCGACACTTTTTCTCTGACGCGCTCCCCCTGCGGTTGGCAGGGGTCGGCGGATATTATATTATATTATGTTATATAAAGTATATTAATTACATTATATTTTTTGTTATATTATGTTCTTACTTAATTTCATTATATTTTGTTATATTATGTTCTTTACTTTGTTTTGCTATAATATATACTATTTCATTTTAAAATTACTTTATTACATTATACCGTACCATATTGTATTGTATGATATGATGGTCTTTTCTATTGTGATATAGTATATTATGTTCTTTTCTATGATGTTATATAACATTATACTAGTCTTTTAAAATCATTGTTTTGTTGTTTCTTATTTATTATGATGTCTAGTTTTAAATGGTTATATTTTATTATTTTGCATTGTATTATCTTTTATTAGGTTATATTTCATGAGATTATATTCTATGTATAGACTATTTTAACATAAGATATTGCATTGTGTTGTTGTATTGTACTATATTATACTATAGTTATTCCCGAGAGGCGTGTCAGCCTTTGGGGTTCTCCACAGGAGAACTTGATGATCCGATGATCCGGGCGGCCAAAGAAAACGCCAAGGCCAAGAAGGAACGGAAGGAAGCTGCGTTGTCAGCCAAAACCAAAGCCAAAGCGGCACGACAATATCATCCAGAAAACAAAATCGAGGTGGGAGGTTTGTTTTTTTTTCTGGTCTTTGAGTATTATTTTGATCTGTTGGTATATCATATTCACATATTTTCAATAATATGATTATGTCTGTGTACATCTGCAATATTTTCATGATTTTGTATGAGTCAGCACGGAAACTAGATGTAAAAAACTAAAGTTCATGCGTCACATTGCGTCACCATATAACTGCTAGGAACATGGTTCCGGGGCCTTAAAACGATTCACCATTCATCCGCAGCTTAGGGACGTCGCGGAACCAGCAAGCAAATCTTGGAAAACAGAGGCCTGGTCCGCCATCGTTTCTTGGCAGCTGGATGTTTCTGAGTGAAGGGTGGATGAAAATGCTGTCCATCATTGTCCTGAATCTGGAGCCGGAACAAGTTGTTGTTGCTTTGATAATCAGACTGCCCAGTTCTCAGCAACTCAGGAAAGAAGAAAGCGGGCAATGCACGGGTCGCCAACCGTGAGAAGTACACCAAATTGGTGAAGCGGCGAAAGGGAGCGGTGCAGGAAATGCGCGAAGGAGCTTCAGATGGTGCTACCTATGAGGGAGAGGCTACTGGCGTGCGCACCCACTTGCGCAAGTCTCTCAAACTCAGTTGAGCGATAGCATGGCCACAGGGATGGGTCAATATTGCCAAGACTTATTGGACCATCGGTTGGGGAATGACCACGAACGACATGGTGATGAAAATAGGTTCCAATTTTATTGACCCATGCCCACACTGTGTCTTGGATTCTTGTGAATATCGGAGTTTCCGTGTTTTGGCGCATTTTTTGCGCCGCTGTTCATATGCTTGTGTGTCTCTGTGTGCTTGGAGACATTAGAGTTTCACCAGAAGTAGCCATAGTTTTGAGATAGAAAAGAAGATCCAAAAAAATTGGACGAAGTGAAGTCCATGGTGTCCTCCAGTTTTTCCATCGAAAACAACTCAATTCTCGGCGTGGGCGAGCCAAGGATAGTGCATTCTTCACAGGAACTTCGTGGTTAACTAACCCACATAACCCACAGAATGATCATGAACACACAGATACAACAGATGAACCTCATGGTGAATGGTGCATAGATGTGCATAGTAAGCGCGTAATCATAGTATAAGATGATGTTCAATCGATTCAAACCCTTGGGCTCAAGCTTGACAAGGACATGAGCCAAAGGCAGACATGAGTCTGAACATATGGTACTCCCAAATCCAGTGGCTCATCACGATTTTCACCATTCGAATTGTCATTTTGGGTATCCATCATTTTTGGACAAAACCCAATATGAAATGATGGGAACACGTGCAGCAACTTTCTCAGCTACGAGGTGCAGTTTCCATGATCCAACATATCATAATATGATCTAATGAATGATGGTTAACGGTTAAGGGGAACCCCAACTCTGGCATTTCAGGTGAAATTACCGGTGAATTCTGATATTCAAAGGTGACTAATGATCAATGGCCTCCCCTGGATGAAGAATGGGTCCGAGATCCCCCGGATGAATCTCGACGAAAGTAGATCCGACCGGAATGAAGCAGGATCAAACACGAGATGGGAAAATGACTCACAGATCTTGAAATCTTCTGAAATCGAGTTTGGTAGTATCAGGATGTATCAGGTTTCTTTGCAGATGTCCATGGGTGCTCTTGTTCCTTTCCAAGCCCCAAAATTAAGGTGAAAGAGTCGATTCTCCATCATCCAATGTCGGATGCAGGTGGGGCAGAACGGGCAGAACGGGCAGAACGGGGGAACCCCCCGGAGGGACGGCATTTCGTGAAGCTGAAAAAACATGAGGAATTGGGCATGCAGGGGGCATGGGAGAGCTATTCACTCCTAATTTGAAGATATTTCTTTTGGCATGAAGAAGGTAGCCATCCCAAAGTTCGCCGATTTCGTTTTTGCATTCCAGCCATGTTGTTTCCAAAACCCAAGGCTCTTCTTTTGGCAGCCCTTGTATCATGCCAGAAACAGGCCTTGCGGGGTGCGGAAAGGAACCTGAAAGGTGAAGAGAAATAAATTGCTTACCCTCCGGTAATCTATCCTAGCGATGGAAAATTGCCAATTCATTTCCAATTCATAGCCTTCAGTAGATCAACATTCAATCCATGGGGTTTTCTAGTTTCATTGCCAGCTTTGATTAGAGCTTAGCCAACTTGGATGTGACCAGGGGCTCACAACCAAGTTATATATACTTTGTATAACCACTTTCAAGTTGTATGTGTATATATATATTATACATGGAATATATTATATATACACATGGATTATATGGCATATTCCCAGGTATGGATCGTAACCGTCGTAACCACTTCCGTTGCACATCGCATTCAACCGGACCTGTGGCACAAGGACATGACGGCGTCCAGATGGACACGGCAGCCAGAGCACGCCCCGCGGTCCAAGAACCTCCGCAAGACGCGCAAAGAAGGCGTTGGGGCGCGCCTTGATTGTGAGGTTGGCGAAACTGTATATAGTTGGGAGCTGATAAAAATCGAAAAAAGTGTGGTTGCGAAGGTCTTACTTAGAAGTTGGATGATAATGCAATATTTTGGGATGGTCATACCACCATTAATAGGAACTTATCATGGCCAACACAATGTTTTCCAATAATAGTAGGATGACTATATGAATCATGACCAAAACCCATATACCATGTAGCTCTGCCATACGTCATTCGGAACCACAGCTGGCCATGTGTTGTATCAGGCGTGCTGGTGGTCGGAGCTGCCATCGTCATCGGCAAGAGTGCAGCACCCAGTGACGCAGTTTTTTTTCTGGTACAAGAAGTTCCTTTTGCTTAAACGAAAACATTCAAGAATTTAAACATCCCATAGTTGTCCTAAGTTGTCCTATGATGAATATCATGATACATACTTAAAAAGTATCGTGAGCTTGATACATCTTTGATACATCTTTGCTGCATCTTTGATACATGGCATTTGTATTAATTCCGATGGATTTGCCCATGGGGTCATGGCTGCGATGGCGCCGAGGTGGCCACTGCCAGGCGCTATGCCCAGCATATGATCTGTAATATTTTATATGTAATCGATGCTTTATATACCTGGTTGAATTTGCTGGTTTCAGAGTTTCGGCTTGAAGAGAACATATTTGGGATGATTTTGTTTGATATTGATATTGTATGATAATTGTTGTATGTTTTGCAGTGGGCTCAACCACCTTTTTTTTGCAGAAAATTTCCTCGGCAATGACACACCGACTGTCGCAGGTGGGTTCGCCGATGTCCCTGAACGCCGGCCCGGAGGTTGCGCGCGGCAACCTGAGACAGGCTGCTTGGCTTTTGGACACAGCTGTCCAGCAGCGGCAGGCGAGGGTCAGCTCAAAAAACCATGGCCGGTGGGGTGGAGTTTTGCCGGCGTCTGGTAAAACACTGGCAGTTGCCGGTTGCCTTCAGACTTGGTATGGGTAAACAAGATCGTATACTGATCCCACGCTCTTGCTAGCTCAGTGTTTAGAGTTGTCTTCTCTGAGATCGCTTAATATCAAGGGAATCCAAGATGAATGCACAGAGAATGAGCCACCACCTCAAGACCTGCTGCAACCTTGAGAGGCAGTGAATGCTCACGTGTATAGCAATCTCATCAAGACCTTTGCCGGGCGTTCCGAGATGCGGGAGGCGTTGGGTCGTTGAAAAAAACGGTACCTTGATGCAGCTTGGATTTGAGTTACTGTAAAATCTGATGCCACATCCATCTTAGTCTTAGTATCTGTTGAAGATTGCGTTGCTTTTTTCAGGCAGTTGCGTGGCTCAATCAGGTCTGGAACCCAAACTTGTGCGGGATTCGACCATGCGTGTTGCCTGCAGAAATTGGCACCAACTTTCAACTGAGGCAAGGGCTTCCAACATCAGCCTCGATTCCGAGGTGTACGCAGCTGTCCACACCTCAACTATTTTCATCTCCCAGTGGAAGGTCTATTTCTTCGATTTCTTTTCCATGTATTTCAGTAAATTGGGATAATTTGGGTCTGAAAAACGGGTACTCCAACACCCAATGGATTACAAGTTTCACATTTCTCTATTCAAGTGGCCATTAAATCACCATTAAATCACCATTAAATCACCATTCAAAAAGGGGAAAAACCCCCCAGACTTTCCCATTTTGGACCACCACGGTTCGACCGCCTCCAAGGTGACTCCCAACTTGGTCCGCCGAGATGTGGCCCCCAGAGATTCCATTGCGCGGGCAGGCGAGGTCCGACTGGACACGGAGAGATGTCACGGATGTCCGCTTTTCTGGATGAAATTCCTATATGACTTTCCATTCAGTTAGGAATTTCATACTCCCAACTGACGAACAAATATATTTTTCAGAGGGGTTGAAACCACCAACCAGTTTTTGTTGGGTTGCCTAAAATGGTGGTAACCCTTTATCGCTGGATGGTTTATAATTAATGGAAACAAATTACCGAAAATAATAGCTGGATGATTTGGGGGAACTATGGGTAAACCTATTTTAGGAAACCTCCATATCACGTGGCATGTCTGTATAAGTGACATATATGTGACATATTGTAACAGTAACTAGCTGGCAGTATAGCTGTACTGTAACTGTAACTAAACTATTGCAGTAACAACAGTGATATGTAATACTGCAGTGTATATATCTAGATGTAGAACTTTATGTAACATGTCTGCATCTCACGACAGGCTATGTTTTTATGCCCATGGATCTCATGGAAGTTTGTGTGGCAGGGGAGAAAGCACCTCTGGTCACTGCTACTTTGCTTGCAATCTTTTGGACCCACTCGGCGCAAGCTCTTCAGGCCCACGAGACTGGTGGAGTCATGCTGGCTTCTCAGGGCATAACTTCATTGGATGACCTTTGGGTTGATCCGCCAACCGGACTCCAAAGAATTTGCTGTCTTCCAGCGATGGTGATGGTTTGTTGTGTCAGTGTCTCCATGGAAAAATCGGTGCAGGTTCGTAAGATGCGTTACGAAGGCTTTTGGGAAGGCAGGCCGAATCTTTCAGCCCTGTGGGCTGCGGGGGCCGAATCTTTCAGCCCCGGCTGTGGGCTGCGGGATCACAGCTCGCAGGCACTATGCCGTCGCAGAGGGTGCTTCACTGGTTGCAGTATGCCGGAGCGCCGGGATGACAGGGTTTGCCGCAGAAAATTGGCCCCAAAGACACCCCATCATTTGGGGCGATGATGGGCGGAAACTCGGCCGATTTGCATTTTGGAACCCCAACTGGATCCTACCAGGTGAGCACAGAAGATTTTCAGAGAAACTGTGGAACTGAGGCCTTTCAATCTAAGCCGTTGCCGGAGCTTGATGCTGTCCAGGACGGATTCAAGGCTGAGTATTGTGCTTTCCACCAATCTGGTCAAGTCATGAGGTAATTTCAAGGATTTCCCAGGTTTGTCTTAAATAGAGTACCCTGAAATTGAATCCACAGCATAGTCATTATTTCCCCTGTTGAAATTGTTTTTTTTTGCGGATTTTTGCCGCATATATATATATATTTTATGTATACATATATATATATACATATATATATATGATTATATATGCATATATGATATCTTTGGGCATCTTATCAAACCATCACAGTTTATGAGGATGCCATTCGCAGTTTGCAGAGGGTCAACGGCCCAGTGTTCTGACGCCACTAGATTCATTGGTCGAACAGACCATTTTAGAGAGGAGTGCTAAGGATGAACAGACCGGTTTCTTGGATTTTAGGCGGGGTTAGGTCCTTAAGCCTTGGGTTTTGGGTACTTTTGGAACGCACCCAATTTTGTTCAGTTTTTGTTTCCCCTTGATGGGCTTGAAGACCCTTGGCAGTGGCCAAGGCCGACAAGCCCGACTTGGCCGCGAAGTGGCTGCGCAAAGCCAGCGACTTGCGTTTGCATGCACAGGCGGATCCTCAATGATCCAGCAAAGTGGTCAACACCACACACCCCAAAAAACTGGGGCAGACAACATCCAAATATACTATATAATAATATATATATATTATATTGTATGTGTATATATATATATGATATTATATATATATATATTATATGTATATATATATTATATATATATTATGTGTATATATATATTATATTTGCAGGATTCTGCTGATGTCTGGGATTTTTGCAGGGGCTTTTGATGGCTGTTGACACAGCTATACAAGACAGATCGAAGAGCACCACGAGAGGTTCCTTCCATCAGGTTTCAAGAGTTGAAAATTCTGAAAGCTTTCAGGAGCGGCTTCTAACACCTACTAGACCTACTAGTCATATGATGTTATAGGCACAGCATTGTAACGTGCCGATTGGAATATGTCATGAGCCATCAGCCCTGATTGATGACTTGAATCACCTCGCATTGATACCCATAGAATCCCATAGAATGAAATGAGCAGTGGCTGCTAAACCCTGTTGGTTGATGATTATTTCAGGGATTATACTAGCCAATATAATTGGGGATGATCAAAATCCAATCGGGGAATCCCGTTCTTAACCAAGCAGTAGGAATGACAGAGGGATCTCGAACATTGCTCAAATGACGAGGCAAGCCTCTTCCGCAGCGTCATCATGCAGTGCTGTCAGAGCCTTACGTTAACTCTTCGGGATGGTGCGGACAAGCCCAGTTCATAAATGTTGGTACCTGGACAACGATGCAGATAAAATATTTGGGATATTGATATCCTACCTACAAAATAAATGGCCATAAATAGACCAATTTCAGATGTCGTCTATATGTTTCATAATGTTTACATAATATATGTTCCATGTTTGTCCCATTCTTGCTGCATATGTGTTTAAACATATTTTCCACATCTTTCAACTTGTTTCATGTGGTCTTTTTGCCGATACTATATGTTTCATTATTTTCATTGTCCCATAATTTTGATTGATTTTGTCCAAAAAATGTGGATGGTTGCAAAATCCTGCACCAAGTAGAAACTATTGCTAGCTATGAAACACTATGAAACACTCGGGTGTTTACCATCAACCGGTTTTCCGGATTTCTGCTTCGCGGCCAGGCGCTTCGAAGCTGGACACGGTCGCAGAGGACATGCTGGAGACGATGGTATCCTGGTGAAACGGAGATTTCTGAGCCCATTCTTGGGCAAAGCCATAATTGAAGCTCGTTCATTGTCCAACTTAATGATATCCAATTTATAATTCATGTTCTATCATCCATAGAATGCTTAAAATCAACTAGTAATCTGATATAATTAATCCATGTAATAATATGCAAATTATGCAATAAGATTACTATTTGTCTAATCCAAAGATTACTATTAGATACTATCAAAACATCATATACATCATATCATACTAATCTACAGATTTAGTGGATGAACTTACCCCAAAATCCCTTACTTTATCATGTTTTTTCCGTATTCAGGTTGCCATGAATCGGGCAATCCCATCCATCATAACCCATTAAATCTCGTCTAAAGTCTAATCCAATTGATTACAACTGGCTTTCACACTCCAATATGTTGTTTTTCTCCAGCCAACAGGAATGAACAGGAAGAGAGTCCAGAAGAATAGGGGGATAATTAGTGCCGGGATAGCCAACGATAACTGGGCTGGTGCTTCAAATCTGTGGGATTTTAGCCCTACAGATGGGATGATTACAGTCATTTGACTCTCATTTTTGCTGCCATTTCATGGCCAATCACTTTCTGTTGGCAATTTGTTCTCAAAATGGTGGATACATGTGGATCCCCTCTGGTAATTTAACATAACTATGGAAAATCACAATTTTTAATGGGAAAACTCACTATAAATGGCCATTTTCAATAGCTATTTTGACATAACCAGAGGGTACCCAATCTATGGCAGGGGATCTATTCCATCCCATGGTTCGGTCATGTTCGGTCGCCGCTTCCTCAGGTTTCCATTGGACTCACCCCCACGAGTGTGTCTTGGTCGTGATGTCCATGCTGGCCGTCAAGGGATTTTGCAGTGGATGGTTTGAAGATGTTTTAAGTATTTTAAGTGGCAAAAACAAAGAAACAGAACTAGAAGATAGAAGAAGCAGAAGGATCCCAACGCAGAGTGGTCTCAAGACATCCCAAGATATCCCAAGACCGCTTGAGAGTCGAGGCAGCCACCGAGCAGTGAAAACACAACGGGTTGCTGAGGATATCTACCGCGCCCTCTGTACATCCAAGGCTCTGAGCACCAGAGATTCAGAGATTTCGCCACGGGGTGCCGTGTAGGTCGTAGTGCCGTGTTGTGCCGCCTTAGGCGATTCTCAACAAAGAAGCTGAAGTCGAGCATTGTCTATCTCTCCTTGAGGACGGTACTTGGGATATTTGGGATGCTGGTGAGTTCTGGCAAATGGAAATCAATGAGTTGATGAGCGACAGAAGCGAGCGATCCAAGAATGATCCGAAGCAAGACGTGGTGGGATTGTGTTTTCGGCTGTACAGCGTTGTTCATTTAAATATGGAGCCCTATCTGCTTGGAATACTTGGCCCACTTCAATGCCTATCGCACTAGGACAGGGAGAAGGACCTGGCACCTTTCTGTTTGATGCTGATCTCTCAGGAGCAGGAGATCTAGGACTGGATGACTGGTTGGATATTTGGAACCCCACTGGCAACCAGTCATTTTACTTCTTTGTTTCAGCTCTTGTTAGGGCTAAGATCCCCCACAGAACTGCTGGATACAAATGGTATCGAATGATTGAACATAGGGAACGCATCATTCATGTTTGGTTCTTTGGGCCTTCCAAGTACGCGTGCTTCTCCTGGTGCAAACCGAGTTGCAACAGACACAGAGGTCATGCAATCACGCGGAAGAAGGCAATCATCGCAACGCAGAGGCACCGGCCCCTGCGATGTCACGGCTGGAAAAAATCCATTTTGTCATGGTGACAATGCCGTTGGTCATTTTGATTGTGAATGCTCGAGCTGTATAAATACACAATTATACAGAATTATACATATTATGATCTACTTGAGGAACAAAGTTTATGCTTCTTGATAGCTTTGCAAAACATCCATCTCGGTTGCGGATCAAATTTCCAAGTCCTCAAAATGTGTGGCAGTTGTGGGACGGTCCATTATCACCCGCTTTTAAATGCGACCTGGCTACGACAAAGGAAAGGAAGCTCAACAGGCGCAACTTTTGTCCTAACAGTGTATGTATGGAAAGGAATGGAATGGAATGGATTTTAATGTATGTAGTAATCCATGTATGGTATGGGATGGGATGGGATGGTACGGTATGTATGTTATTGCATGTTATGCATGTTGTGCATGGTTTGTATCATATGCATTCTTTGCATGTTATGCATGTTATGCATATTATGTATGTTATGTATGCTATGTATGTTATGTATGTTCTGTGTGTTGTGTGTGTTACGTATGTTGTGGATGTTACGCATGGACGTATGCTACGTACGTAGGTAGGTAGGTAGGTAGGTTAGGTAGGTAGGTAGGTAGGTAGGTAGGTAGGTAGGTAGGTATAGGTATGTATCACATGTATTATGTATGATATGTAGAAAAGACACCAAAAAATGTATAGATAAGACATATCAACACCATGTCATCATCATATTTATATTTACACATTATAATCACATATCAAGACATATATTATACATTTGTAATCATGTATATATATATATATATGATTGTATGTATATAATTCATATATTGTATCCAGCGCATCACCCATGCGCCCCTTGTTGAATGCAGGCCTGGTTGGAACGAGCCCATGGGGCGAGCTTGGAGCCAGATCTGCAGTGCTACAACAAGGCCGGGGGGCCCACAGTTCTTGCGGAAATGGATCAGGAATGTGAACCACCAGCCTTTTTTGAGTTATCGATGAATATCCATTAGTATTCCATTAGTTAATATCCATTAATATCCATTAATATCATTTAATATCCATTAACCATTAACCATTAATATCATTTATATAATATCCATTAACCATTAACCATAAACATTCCCATTAGTTAATATCCATGTCCATTGGATAACTGGGGTTTCCCCATGGGAAACCGAGGTCCTGGCAGCACATGTGCGATCACCTAAGGCGGCTGGAAACCTGGGCTGGGTCAAAGGTCCAATCCTTCACAGTTTGAGGAAATTTAGAAATGGAAGGGAAATGAAGGGAAGAAATGGGAAGAACGCTCTGAATGTGCAAAAAACCTACTTTGCGATAACATTCGTGAAAATTCATGATAATTTAGATATGTCAGGTCAAAATAAGCATACATTGGTGAAGCATCTCACGTCTTACATCGTCTTACGATGCCAAAAACTGATGGTTGCTGGAGCTGAGACCAAGGTCCTAAGGTAGAACCAAACATTTGCAGTAAGGAAACAACATGCTGATATGATCCGATATGTTCATTTTTGACGGATACTAGTACTGGATTTACTGGATATTGGCTATCCCCCACTGCACCGATAGACCAAACAAAGATCCAAAGATCCAATGATCGAAGAAATATCCAAAGAACGAATCAAGCAAGGAAGCCACCAAAAGTAAAGAAAAAACAACCAGCCCATTGAGATTTCAGTGTTTTGCAGCACCCTGCAGCTCTGTCTTGGGAAGGGCTGTGCCACAAAGTGGCAATTGCCCAAGTTCCGAGCAGCAGCTGCCTGCAGGCACAGCTATGGGGTGTTGAACCCCCCAACATTTATGGCAATTTCTATGGGGAACATCATTATAAAATGATGATAAACTGATATATATATATATACATGATTCGATACATGCATATTCATTTATGTGTTTTTACTTATTCACTTATACCTTTTTTTTAATCAATTTAGTTACTGTAGTGATTTATCTAGTTATTTAGTTAATTAGTTTTTATACTGTATAGTATATATATAGGATTGTAGGGGAACTTTATGTTCACTCAAAACCACATGGGTGACATAGTTGATATGGACAGACAGAAACGGGCTTGACCACTTTGACTACTGCCTTCAACCTGACCTGGTGAGCAGGTGCTTGCAGCAGATGCAGAGGAAGGTTGGAAGACTGAGTAGAAATGAAAATTCTTGGGCACACGATGGTACACCCAAAACTTCGATGCTTTGATAGCAATATTGTCCAGAATCTCCCCGCCCTCATCGTCCATTTCCTATAGAAATGTCTGGCAGTTGCATATTTTGTGTGGACTTGGTACTGCTGGTGCAGCAGTAGTGGGGGGAACCATAGCCGTAGCAATTCAGGCTGTCCAGCCCGACTCAGTCTCATACAGGCAGGGATCTGAGAGCATATATATATATATATTATATATATATATTATATATATATATTTATATATATATTTTTATATATATATATTAGAGATTCTTCCTGGTTTGCCAGCATCAAACGACATTTGGAGACCCCTTCGTTGCGACACTTTGCAGCCATGTTGTTGTTGATGTTGTCTTGTCTCTGGATGCTTCTGGGTGTTGGTGTTGGCGGTGGTGTTTTCCATTGCTGAACCTAGCCTCAAAGACGATCGGAGTATGGTCTCCAACGGGTTGGATGGTGAGGGATCGCTGTCAGGTCTGGCAGTCTGGCATATCAAGACCATATCCCAACCCATAATTATAATATATTGTAATGATTGAACAGAAAACCACAATTTGAAGCTCCAGATTTATGGTTGGGATAATATTAATATTCCAATAAATATCATTAAATATCCACTAATATATTGAATATGGTTGGGATATGATACCAACCCATCATTTCTGGCCGAAATCGATCCGCGACTTCTCGTAGCGACTTCTCCGTGCCAGGCATGTGATCCGCGGCCTTGCCCGAGCGGGGGAATCCAGGTCCACGGCTGACATCTGGGAATACTCTGAGAATATGACTGAATCAAGGAAAATGAAATTAGATATTTAGATGGATTTTAGATGGATTTTAGATGGATGTAAAATGAATATAAAATGGATGTAAATGGAATATGACATCATATTCATTTCTATCAGATGAGTGGTCTTTTAGATTGTTGGAGATCATCTCCAGGACCAGCATCGACTACATGGAGGCCATGATGCAACGGAAACTGGCTCCTGATCTTCAGAGTTCCTGGGCCAAAAATGATCTGAAGAGCTTCCCCCATATTTTTCGCTTCAGGGGGGTTATCAAAAAAATATCCTATGTTTGATGGGGGTATTCCAGTCCATCCGTGTCCATGAGGTTTTTCGGAGAAATGATTTTCGCATGAATTCGCCATGCAACGAAGAATATCTCCATTTCTGGGCTGTGAACGTCCTGTGCAACATCTGGGAATGCATCCCCAGATCGTGACCCTTTGTGCTTTTGATGATACATTTGGGATCGAAGAAAAACCCAGCAAACTACATCAAACTGCTTGAGGTGAGGACCATCACACGGCATGTGATACAGTGATACAGTCCATCTTTGGAAACGTTACATGTAGATTCCCACCCCCAAGATCCCCCGGTGCCGGGATTGCCGAGGCTATAACTCCTTGCTTCGTGGGCCCAGCATGCTTTGGAGATGGGCCTTTTTGGTCACGTTGAAACACCAAACATGGGGAGCCAACTGAGCTCCACGGATCCACCCGTTGGTAGTGGGCTGGTCTGGCAAGATTGGTAATGGCACCTGGCCTGATCTGTTATCATGTTAAACCCCTGGGCTGTTTGGATACCACGATGGCAAATGAAAACTCTATGTGAGAAGAACCCCTCTAATGAATCAACTAGAGCATATCAATCAATGAGCAGTACGTATAATATATCGATGGATGGATACGTGTTTTTTTCTCTGGTGGCACAACAGAAAGTTGACCCGGATGGTGACTGAACCTAGAACTACTGAGCATTGCTCTTTATCTTCGGCCCAATCTCTCTACTGCAGCAGAACAAGATCCAGGTCCTATTGATTTCATGCCTGGTTGTCCACCTTAAGTCTTTTCTGCAGCTGCTTGGTTCAAAGAAGTCGCTTCCCAAATCTTGGCGCATGCTGGGACTCTCAACAGTCTTGTGTTTTTTCAGATTTCTGAAGTCAACAAGCGAAGTTTGCTGCATCAGATATCCCAGTTTACAGGCTATTCTACCATCCCCAAAAGCCGTTGGCTTCACTGGTTTCTCCCATGTTTCTCCCCGATAGAACTGTTTGGTGCACGATTCTCCTGCGAGGCGCGATGCAAGGATGGCATGGGCAAATGCCAGGCTGTTTGCCGGGTGCACAGGCTCGCCGGGCTGAGGAGCACGGCCTGTGGTTGAAGCTGAGTTCAAGGTTGATCGTGGCTCAGGGAATCTACTGGTTGTTTGCTTTTTGGTGACTCCAGTGGTTGCCGAACTGTTGAGATCCAGGGATGAGCAAACTTCGTTGTGCCGTGACCAACATGATTGAGCCATTGAGTGGTGTCATCTGATTTGCTGCTGGCCCCACCCAGGCCTCAATGAGCAACTTGCCCATGGCCTTCCAGGTCTGAATTTGGCTGTTTCCCGAAGCTATCAGCAAGCCAAAGTTTTGTTTCGGATCTACCAGAAATTTCAGAAAGGCAAATGTGTAATGAGGATGAAGTTTGGGGTCATTTGATGTTTTTGTCTCTTCACTCGGCAGGAGCCAGCTGCCAAGCGCCAACGTCAAGAACCTGCAGCCTTTGGTTGCGGCAGTTGGCCAGGCCAATATATTGCAAGGGCTGCCAAGGTGATGTTTGCCCTGATTCTATGTTTTTTTTTTGCAAACTTGAATATACGTAGTAAATCCAGAAAAATCGTCATTTGCTCGAGAAGTGACTAAAGATACCTTTAGTATCCTTTAGTATACTAAAGCTATCTAAGGGGGGTTCTTCAAATATTTCAAATAGGCTACCCCCAAACCGTTGCAGTTTTTTCCATGGTTTTTCCTATTGCTCTGCCCACGTGGGCTACCGTCAAATCACCATCCACAACTGGATCCACAACTGGATCCAGGTAGCGAAGGCAGCTCGCCGAGCTCTCGGTTGAAGGGAAACTGTGTCAGTCATGGTCCAGTCATACTGTGAAAAACATGACGGAATTCTTGAATCATTATGAAATATAGTATTTTAAAAACAGAAACATAGAAACGTTGGAATTTGTGAAAAATGATGTTTAATGGCTAGATATCGAAGTAATTTCCAGAGTTTCTTCGCCATGAAATCGATGGGGTAGCGGTAGCGAAGGCTCTGGAGCCCTGGAGCCCTGGGACGAAGTCATAAATTCCCACGAGCAGGACATGCTCAACAGATCTCAACAGCACATTTTTGTCAAAGATGATCAATTTGGGTATCCACTTCAGAATTTTTCAGAAAGCATGTCCTGCTATAAAAGTCCTGCTTTTAGCGCACTAAACCGATCCAATCAGGTGTAGTCCAAGAAATTTCGTTCATCAAAGGACAACCGTGCGAACGTCAAAGGATGCTATCCACAGCACACGGAAAAAAAAAACCTGGATTCACCCTGGGTTGTCGCTGGGGAATCGATGGGGTGAAGCCTCAGGTGCGGGAGCAGCTGCGGAGGTTGTGGCAGCTGTTCAGGTGGGGCCAGTAGTTGCTACTGTAATGGGCGATATAAACCCACTGGAAGTTCAGGTTTCATCACAATTCTGGGTTTATACCACCCATTATTGGTGTATAAACACCCACGATTATGTTTAATTATTGGTGTTCTTCTTCTGGGGGGCCTGCAAACATCGGGAAGCCCGATTCAATGTTCCATTATCTAAGTCTATCTTGACGCAGGTTCAGACCCTTCGTCCATGGGCATGGGAGCATCAGGTTGCATACTTGGCCGCGCTGCTTCGCTGTTAGCATCGAGCAGTGGCCCTTGTGGTGAAAATGAGTTTACCCCCCAATTCATGGCAATTTTCATAGGGAAAATATGGGAAAATGATGATTCAGCCGTAGATTTTTGGGGTAGCCTATTTTCAGACGAACCCATAGTATCCCATAGTTATCCACCAATTGAAGTGCTGCTTTTGAGGTGGCCCTGGAATGTCCTGGAGTTCGGACCTCGACTCTTACTTGGGTCCTGTCTAAAGCAGACCCGGCAGCAGTTGGGCTGCAGGTGGGTGTGGCAACATGAACAACCTGAACCCGCTGCAGATCGTGGCGGCCTCAAAGCGCTCCTGACTTTGACGATCTGGGGAGATTTTGACAGATTTGGATCGAGTTTTTTTGACATTTTTAGATGGATCCCTGATTGATTGGGGGAGTTGGAAAATTTCTGCTTTTTGTTTTTTTCGAAAGCTGGGAATTTTCCATCTTTTTCGGATTTCCTCACTGATCCCACCGAGGCACAGATGCAAATGGCCCAGATGCAGGCCTTGGCGGCGTTCAACAAAGAGGATGGCGGGCTGGGGCATTGCTGGATCCCGGAGCAGCTTTTGACAAAAGGGGGTATGTAATATCGAAGCTTCCCCCTACGAAATTTAAAAATATTTAAAATCTGAAAAAAAAGAATTCTTGATTTCAAAATCGATTAAAGTCCTTTTTGAAAAACAATTTATATGAAGATACTACCACACATTGGATTTCGAAGGTTCCCCTAATATAAAAATAAACTGTTATCCCCGCAAGAGACCCCAAACAGTGTGGGGGGGAGTGGGAGGATAATGTAGTATAATTATGCAGTATAATGTAGTATAATGTTGTTGTTGTTGTTGATGATGATGATGGTGGTGGTGATGATGATGATGCTGATGATGATGTTGAGGATGATGAGGTGCAGGAGGATGATGATGTTGACGATGTTGATGGTGAGGATGATGATGTTGAGGAGGATGAGGATGAGGATGTTGATGATGATGATGATGATGAGGATGATGATGTTGAGGAGGATGGGGATGAGGATGGCAATGCGGAAAATAAAGTGGAGGAGGACAAGGTGCAGGATGATGATGTTAAGAATGAAGAAGATGATGATGATGATGATGATGATCAAGATTTCACAAGAGCCACTTGATACGGAAATTTACAGGAAAAATGCCGCGGCCCAGACTGAGCCCAGAACGCAGACGAACACTTTGTGCGAGCCTGCGCAGTCGAAACGCAAAGATTTCACACGAGCCACTCTATTGTACGGAAACTCTCAGGTAAGATGCTGCAGACCAAAACTGCGCCGCTGACTTTGTGCGATCCTGCGCAATCGAAACGAATGTCAAGATTTTACAAGAGCCACTTTATGCAGAAAATTTGCAGGAAAAATGCCGCAGACCAAAATGAGCCCAGAACGCGGACACAGACTTTGTGCGAACCTGCGCAGTTGAAACACATGTCAAGATTTCACGAAAGCCACTTTATGCGGAAACTTACAAGTAAAATGCCGCATGCCAGATTGAGCACCCTGATCAAGCACCGACCTTTACACTTGCCGTAAGAACCCCTCAGTGTGGACACACTGTTTGGGGAACAATTTCTGCCGTATGTACTTTGGATCATGAAAAGGACGTTTTTTCCATTTTTTTCCTATGCTTCAAGATGCTGCAAGCTACAAATGTGCATGCTTGTTCAGTGCCACGTTCCAAACAACATTGTTTAGGTGTATCCTATTCTGTGAGTTCGTTCATGCGTGAGACAATTGCTCCAAAGACACTGTGAACCAAAACAACAGATCGCGTAGACGACTCTGGCAACAGGAGAAGAGAAGACATGACAAGAGAAGACAAGAAGTAGAATGCAGAGAGACACTTTGTGCGAGCCTGCGCGCGTCCCAGAATGAGCCCAGAACGCCAACAGCCCAGAACGCAGACATACATTTCGTGCGAGCCTGCGGAATCGAAACGCATGTCAAGATTTCACAAGGGCCACTTTATACGGAAATTCACTGGAAAAATGCCGTGGTCCAAAACCGCGCCCGCAGACTTTTTACGAGCCTGCGAAGTCGAAACGCATGTCGAGATTTCAGTGTGATCCGAAACAGCATATCGCGTAGATGATTCTGGCAACAGGAGAAGAGAAGACGTGACAAGAGAAGACACGAAGTAGAACGCAGAGAGGCACTTCGTGCGAGCCTGCGCGCGTCCCAGAATGAGCCCAGAACGCGAACAGCTCAGAACACAGACATATATTTCGTGCGAGCCTGCGGAGTCGAAACGCATGTCAAGATTTCACAAGGGCCACTTTATACGGAAATTCACTGGAAAAATGCCACGCCCCAGAATGAGTCCAGAACGCAGACGAAAACTTTGTGCGAGCCTGCGGAGTCGAAACGCATGTCAAAATTTCACAAGACAGTCGAAACGCTTGTCAAGATTTCACAAGAGCCACTTTATTATACGGAAATTCTAAGAAAAAATGCCGTGGTGCAAAACCGTGCCGCAGACTTTAATTACGCGAGCCTGCGCAGTCGAAACGCATGTCGAGATTTCAGAAGAGTCACTTCATACGGAAATTTACAGGTAAAATGCTGCAGACCAAAGCCGCGCCGCAGACTTTGTGCGATCCTGCGCAATCGAAACGCATGTCAAGATTTCACAAGAGCCACTTTATATTGAGGTTTGCAAGTAAAATGCCACAGACGAGAGTAAGCACCTTGATCAAGCATTGGCCTTTACACCTACCGTAAGAACCCATCAGTGTGGACAGACTGTTTGGGGGAAAATGTTTGATTTAAATCCTAATAGAGAACAACAAGGCGTTGACTATCGTTGACTAGCTTTTATTGTTAGGGGGTTAAAACATGTTAAAACATGTTAAAACATGTTAAAACATGTTAAAACTAACCTTCAAAAGGGATATTCATTTTTAAATTGTTCCCTAAAGGGGACCAAAAAAAATCAAATTGGCCAATCTGAAAGCCCTCAAAATTGAAAAGTTACCCTACTTTTTGATATTGGAGGTACATTTAGTGTTGGGAGACGGGATTAATTAGTTTTGCTTAATTAGGTCTGTGATGCAACGCGGCAATTGAATGCAATTGAGGAGTCTGCCAATGTTTCAGCACCTCCAGAAACAGAAGAAAGATACTATGGCAGCTCGGCAGCGCCTGGTCTGTTTCCTCAAATTGATTCATTTTTTTGGGGGGGAAGGCTTGAAAGCTCCAAAGCCCTTTGGAACTTAACATTTGCTTGCACCAGCTGAGGACTGATTCGAGACTACAATGAGAGTCAGGCCAGATACTGAGGGGAGAAACCGGAATTCTTCTAAACATGTTTGGTCAAGCATTTCGAAATTGTGTACGTCTAAAGTACACCGTCAACCACTTCATGGTTTGTTTTGGTGGTTGAGGTATCCCCGGTATCCCCTTTCTCAGATAGACACGCTCCATGTCTTTGCTGTTTGCTGAGGGATTCGGTTTCATCGAATGCGACGATGCAAAGATGAGATATGGCATGGACGTGTTCATTCACAGGCGCTCCATGACATTCTTGCATTTCAGAATTGGTTTACGGGAAGATTTGCAGGAATCCCTCCATGCTAGGATGGTTAAAACCCATGGTTTCAAGTGGTTTCCTGCGTAAAGTATGCTCAAAGAAACCCACTGAATACAATTGTTCTATCAGAATGCAAAATGGGTTTGCCTGAAAACAGGGTACCACAAAATCCCCATGGTTTTTGATCATTCGTCCATATTCTTCCTATTAACATTGCAATAAGGCCATAAGGTGTGGTATCCCAGATTTTTCCACAAACGCACGTGGCTTTCAATGCGTGTTTGCAGCTCACTGCTTGCAGACGGCAAATGTTTGGCTTGGCAAAGGGGGATGAGGTGCCCAGCAGACGCGAGATATTTCTCATGAGTTTCTCCACATGACATGGATTTTTCTGACTAGCATGCTGGATCATGCTGGATCATGCTGGTATTGCAGGTCAGCTTCATCATAGTTCGGAACTCTCAAGGCTGGTGGGAGTTGCTTGCAGCTGCCGTAGCTGCTACTCCAAGTCCCCTCTGCCAGGCCAACCGCAAGCCAGACACGTCATAAAGAAAGAGGACAACCACCGCAACAAACCTGGCACGATTTGGTTATCAATGGGAAAACCAGTGGTTTGGGGTACCTATATTTCAGATATTGATATTTCAGGAAACCTCCATGTACGCGTTCTGTTTTTGAATTGTATCACGAATCATCACCAAAAAATTGGTGATCCAAATTGTGTTCGGTCCGCAAGTTCGGGGCAACAAAAGATTCTTTCGCATTTTGAGGAGACTGCTCGGATATTGGAAAAGAGGAAGGACAGAGAAAGAAGAGAGGCAGTATTTTTTCACTTTTTCACAAGCTTTTCATACTTTTATATACTTTTATTACATCATAATATGTACATCATGTACATCAACATTCAACAGCTTTCTCACATCCATGACCAACATTGACCAACATTTGTTTGTTGTTGTTTTTCTTGGTACCTCACACCCTTCAGACCGTCAGACGAGGCTGCAAAGCTGGCAGCGAAAAAGCAGGCGTCCGAGAAAGCCGCGCGTCCTGAGACTGGTTGCTCTCTGCGTGCAGCAGAGATGTCAGGGAAGAGCGAAACAAATGAGCAGTGGCTGCTAAACCCCTGTTGGTTGATGATTAGTTCGGGGATTATACTACCCTTCATATTGGGTATTTAATAATCCAATAGGGGAATCCCATTCTTAACCAACCAGTATAATGGAATGACAGAGGGGTTTTGAACACTGCTCAAATGGGGATCAAAAGCTATGAATTTACCATGTGACTGGGGAATAACATGGAATAACCATCCATTATCCATTATATAACATGATATATGATATAACCAGATATAACTTAGGGTACCTGAAGTACCAGGCTTTTGACCCACCAAATAATTGGGTTCTTTGATAATCCCACAACAGCTGACAGCTGAGGTGTTCACACCGAGCACCATGGAAGGGAAGGTCATGTCCGAAGAGGAAGCCAGAAGATTTCAGGCCTGGCAAGGGTGTTTTTCATGGTGTTTTTATCCCGGATGCAGCATTTCATGGCGAAGAAGTTTTAGCTGGAGAGCAACAGGATTCCTAAAGAAATGTGATACATGTTATTTGGTTGGTGGTTTGGAACACGACTTTTAAATTCCATTTCATATATTATATATATGGGATGTCATCCTTCCCATTGACGAACTCCATCATATTTTTCAAGATGGTTATATATAGTAAAACCACCAACCAGTGCTTGTTATCTGAAATCATTAATGCTTGTTATCTGAAATCATTAAATCCCCCATATAAATCATCCATTCAATAGCTATATCAGCTATATATCTGCTTGGTGTTTGTTATCTGGTTGGGATATCTGGGATAACTTGTTGTGTTGCAATGGCCTCCAGATGCCTCCAGGACTCCAAGGTCTCTCTCTTTGTTTGGCCATGGCTTCCAGGCATCTTTGAAACGTCCCAGATGACGACTCGAAGCGCCAGACGGCAGCAAAGTCGAAAACGCGAAAACGCCATGCACGCCATATGCTACTTACTATACCATGACATATCAAATATACAATATCACACAAACACTACCGTATAATACTATATATAACTGTATATATATACATACATTGTATCAATTTTTATCATATTGTATTATTGATTCGTCATATCGTATTCTAACATTTTCTAACATATCACTTCACATGACATCAAATCACATCACAACACATCACAGCCTTCAAACCATATAGATGTATCATAACATATCACATCCGTCGAAATCATATCGTATCGTATCATATCTTAGCATATCAAATCGTATCGTATCATGCCGTTTTTATTACCATGATTCTCATCATTACCATCATCATTATCATTATCAGTATCATTTTAATATTATAGAAAATCAAAGCATATAGTATATACATGTATATACTATATGTTTTGATTTTCTACATGTATATACCATTTGCACACACGGCTCGCAACATATCCTATGTGCTTTGGCTGAGGTCAATGTTTCGCAGATCCGCTTGCGAAGTGAGTGGCCTTTGGCGCAAAAAGACGCGGCCTGCCCTTGGTGAATGTCTGGCAGCTACGTTAGATCTACCTGGCAATACCAGGCTGCTTACATCGATACATTGGACATCAATGTGACATCAATGTGACATCAATGTGACATCAATGCCACATATTTGACATACAGTTCTTTTAACTACATAGCATATATAGCATCAAACGGCAGCGTCTTGGCCTTTTGATGAGCCGCAGAAAAGGGAAACACATGAGAAACACATTAAAAAACACATATAAGTCAAGCCAGTCTCGGGGAGCTATCTTCGCCGCGCAAGCGCATGCCAGACTGCCTCATGCGGAAGAAGGAAGTTGCACTGGGAACGGAATGGCTGCAGAGGATGTTAGATACTGGTGTTGCAGCAGACGAGGCGAGTTGGCCGGGACAGTTGATGCTGAATGCGTTTCTGTATGTTTCAGTATGTTTCAGTTGTATACTATTGTATACTGCTGAGTTCATTGGTTCCAAGTTGAAAGACTAAATCATCAATTTTTTCATAAACCAATATTACCACAATTGGATACAATTGGGTGAAGCATCCCCAGTCATGGTAGGTTTATCGCCATGGTCATCGGCCAATATCGGCCAGGTCAGCTTTCATGCGGTGCTTCGATCCAACTTGGCAGTGGGCCAATTCGCTGAGGCATGACTTTTCATACGAATCGATAGGCGAAAGGTGTGAATAGAAATAGCTTGGATTGATGGATCCGAGTGAGTGAGTGAGTTTAAACTGGATTTGTTCATACCAGATGTTTAAACATGTTTAAACATTAGTGTGTTTATAAAACCACATGTTTAAGTACTGGTATCTAAACATATTTCTAGGTGTGATACCACATCACCGGGGCGAGTTATTTAGTTTCAGCATGGACATGGGGGAGAATTGGGGATGGAGGCTTCGGGTTTGGTATAGGGGGTGTTCAGGGTGGGGGATGTTGTATGCACTTCTATTACACTCTGGTAATGACTAACATAGCTATTGAAAATGGCCCAGTCGAAATCGTGGATTTACCCATTGAAAATGGTGATTTTCCATAGTTATGTTAACTTACCAGAGGGTATCTTCTATTTGTATTTGTCATTTGGATACCCTGATGCTGTCCACGGAGCTATCCCGAGCTGCGGTTTGGCTCAACATGTGAAACCCTGGGGACCGCAGGTTTGGTCTGTGTTTAGTACTAAGCATCTAAACACCCCCATATATACATTGTGACATACATACTTCTATAGTGTAAATACATCATTATATGATATATACATATTAATATACATATTAATAATACATATTAATACATACTAATATACACATATACATATTCAGATACATCATATACACCATATACGTCATATACATCATATGATATACATTATACACATCATATATATATATGTATACATACATATATACATACGTATACATACATATACACATATGTATACATAGATATATACATATGTATACAGTACATATATATATATAATTATATATACATATTACATATTTATATACGTATACACATACATACGCATATATACATACACACATATACATACACACATATACACAATATATATATATACGTGTAATGCAATGCAATGCAATGCAGTGCAATGCAGTGCAATGCAGTGCAATGTAATGTAATGTATGGATGCATGCATGCACGTATGTATGTAGAATATATAGATATATACATATACATATGTACGTACGTACGTATGTATGTAGAATATATATAGATATATATAGATATATGTATCAGATATACTTATACATGTACAAACGTGATACATACGACATACGTACCAAAAAAAATTGCTGCAGATGCTGTTTTCCAGGCTGAGGAGTGGCTGAAGAAAATGATCGCTTTCCAAGTCACACCAGGGAGGTGAGCGGATCCTAGCGGCACTGCGGCACTGGAATCCATCGGTGTAGATGTTTTTGTCCAACAAAAAGTAGAAAATTATCCATGATGATATTAGAATATCCACAATTATCCATAATTTAGAATGATAGAATTCAACATTATCCATTGTTCTATATTATTGGAAAATTATAGAACATATAGACATATGTAGACATTCATCCAATTTATTTTGAATCCGAGACACAACTTTGGCTTGACAACGTGCATGTGCAGGCTTGAGTACAATGAGTTGATCGAGCACTATAGCAAGCTTGGCAATGTGGAGAAGGTGCTTGTTGTGAAATTATTGATATCCGTTGCCGCCAGCATCAGGGCGCCAGTGGATAGGTTTCTCAAGAGAACACGGTTCAAAGAACTTGGGGATGGCGGCCACATCCAAACTGCTATTTGCCAAAGTGAATCACTTGTCAATAGAGTTCGAATCAAGGCCTCAATTCATGTGCCGACAGGCATACTTCTTGCTGACGTTGATGAAGGCTGGACTTTTCGTACGTTCTCACTTGACCTGCATGAGAAGCTTGGACCCACACTTCTGGCCATCAGTACGAATAATTGGGTGTGGACCCGAACATGTGGACCTCCAATGGCAAATTTAGTGGAGAAAAAATGATGATAAACCACTAAATAAATCTATATAAATATATACACCATCAAATTTTGGGCTACCCTATTCTCAGACAAACTCCAAAAAGACGCGATGCAAACTGTAGGATGAAGGCTTGACCAGCTTGGCTGCTCAAGCTGACTGCGCCATGGCTGCAATGACTGCGCCACGCAGCTCCCGGGCCATGCGATGCTGTGCCTTTTGCATGGCCCTTGGGGCGCTGATCATGGGGCCTGGGCAAACATGGACGACCATGACGACCATTCGAAAAGCTTCGGGTGTGCCCGGCCCACCAAGCCGGCCAGCCATGATGGCCATGGGTCAATGGGAAGCGTTTCCCAGATACCAAACGATTCAAAGGCAGACCTCACAGACCACGCTGAGGGCCAGTAACAAGGAACTGGACACTGAGGCAATTGGCAAGTACTTTACTGCCATAGCTGTGCAAATGATTGCCATCACGGCCTTTTTTTCCGCACTTGACTTGGCTGTGCAATCCTATGGCATCGAAGTGCCCGACTGGGCCGTCTTTGGCCTTTTCTTTGGCATGAGCATACGGTCGCGTATCTTTTCACCCTTGGACAACTCCAGGCCAGACATCCAGAAGGCAACCAAAGGTGAGGCCACTGTGGGTTTCAATGATCGTCAAATGCCAAGTTGGACACCGCCTGGCATCTTTTCCCCCATCATGTGGATCCTGATTGTGGCACCCCTCCGTGCAGCCTCTTCCATGATGATCTGGCAACAGGTGGGACACATTTGTGATGCCACCATCTTGGTGCTGATGCTTCATCTGTGCATTGGTGATACTTGGAATACCGTCAACAACGTGGAACGCCGGTTGGGGGCTGCGGTTCCAGGAGTTTTGTGTGTTTGGGCTTCAGCTCTTCTGGCAAGCTATGCATATTATCAGATCGAGCCCTTCGCGGGGCAACTGTTGTGGCCCACATGCCTTTGGCTGACAGTAGCTGCTGCACTTGTGACAGACACATGGAGGGTGAACAATAGCAGTGGCACTGAGCCTCTGTTTCCTTATCGAAGTGATGGAACTCGAACTCGATTTTGGTTTGCAGAGTGATCCTTTGATTGTGACAATACTATGAGTCACTATGAGTCTCACACGCACCCAGTCCGCAGAATCAGAAAATGCAGATTCAGTGCTAGGCACTAGACTCACTAGGCCTTCTAGCTTTCCAAACGGAAGGACTTTGGCTCAGCAACATCTCTCAATCATGTCTTTGGGCCGATTTCGCAGGGACTGAAAAGGAACGACCTCTGTCTCATAAGCAGCCAACACAGACACGGCAGGCCACACCTCCGTCGTTGCCTGATGCAGTGACGTTCCAGCATCTCATCACTGCTGCCAACGATGAGAATCTGGTTGTTCCTTGTCAAAGAATCTGGGTTCGTCATGGTTTGTCCAGAAATGAGGGATAAAACCTGAGAAAAGACCATGGCAAATGTGGTTCTAAACCATCGGGTTTGGGTGTACCCATTCTTTGACAAACCTCTATATATATATTATGTTTTTCCCACAAGCACTGCTGGGTGAAAACATTGAAAAAGAGTGTGCTGGGGGGTTGTTGTTGTTATTTTTGTTAGTCACAGTTTCACTTTGACCATCTTTGACCTTGGAATTTGGGGTTTGCCTTGCACACATGGGATGGCCGTGGTGATCCCACGATGGTCCAGGACAAGTTGCTGAGCGAAATGCGCAGCGTGGCTCTTTCGCCAGATGTCATTACCTACACTAGCCTTGTCCAAAACTGCGCCAGTCAGATTCTCGGTCGTGGGTCGTGGGTTAGGCTCACACTTCCCTGTGAGCCTGTGGATCTAGATATCAGATTTGAGATGATTTGACCAGGCGTAGTACAGTCTCATTGCCGTTTGAATAGCGGCGGGGGTGTGTATACACCATGTTTTGATACACCATGTATATCCATGTATTAACTATGCATGTACAAACTCATGCATGTGTATATATATATACATATATATATATATGCATATATATATATGCATATATATATATTATAATTAATATCATACGCCATGTTTTGGCCATAGCACACGTGATTTCTACAGTGATCACGATTCATTTGCTTCTTGGATTCTTGGCATCAATTTGGTTCGATGATTTCCCCGTGAAATCCCAACACTTGGAGCTAGCGGGCTAAGTAGTGAGTAAGTGATTTACTGTGATTTATATATATATATACATGTGTCATCTAGAAGTGTACAACCCATATGTAACTGATTGAAGGGATATATTCCTAATATATTATATACATATAATATACATATAATATAATATATATTATATATAGTATTATATATTTATAGTGTATTCTATATATTCTATATATTATATATACTCTATATATGTATATATATATATTCTATACATTATATATACTATATATTATATATAATATATATTGTATATATATATATATATTATATATGCTATATATAATATACTATATATATATTGTATTATATATATATAATGGTACATTTATTATTATTATTATTACGATATATATTTATTTATTATATTAATGTATATGTCTTACATATTATATTTGTATTATATTATATTATATATATATTATATAAATATTATATATATATATGTGTGTGTGTGACCGGGTTTAACATGGTAACTGCCCACTTACCACTGGTTGACTCAGTCAAGTTGCTGGTTGGCGCAAGGTCAAGGTGCAATCGAGCAAGCCTCTAGATGGCTGGAACGTATGGCAGGGCTCCTATCTGGGCTGGGAACCTGCCGGAGGCCTTTAATTATGTGGGAAGTCCCCCCAAAAAAATTGGCATTTGCATAGGAAATCCCTATAGTAAACGGGCATTAAATGGGCATTTGAATTGGACAATCATCAAACCATGTGTGATTCCCAGATGGTTCCAGCTGAATTTGAATGACCTCACAAGGATGTCACCACAGACAAAAAGGTTACCATAGTGGGAATCATCCCCAATAATCCCCAATCGGCTGGAAGTGTCAGGTGTCTGAAGTGCTACAATCCAGCCATAGGCCTTCAAAAAGCCAGGTTTCGATCCAGGTTTTGAAGCGTGATTGGCATTATGTCATCATGTGGTACCAAGGTTGCTGATACGCTCCAGCCAAACGTGCTGGCCTTCAACGTTTTGATTGCGTCCTGCGCAAGGTGGCTCATGACACAGTTCTTCATCGGGCTTTGTACGAAAATGTAGGATTGAATTACCCCTATAGTTTTGTCATGTTTAATGTACCCGTCAAGTAATACGGAAAACTCTGGAGAGAATCCTCTAGAGTTGGGGGTATACTATTTTCAGACAAACAACCTTCGTGCAGTCGGATTTGCATGGTAATAGAAAGAACTGATACGGCATGGATGCTTGTATCCTGCCATTCACCATCAAAAGTCAACATCCTCGCTGATCCACTGTGTTTTGTCTTGGGTCATGGGGTGTGTAAGGCCATATGTTGTCATTGACCACGCAGGGTGTTGGAAGGTGTTGCATGTCACATCAGTATTTCCCTTTGGGCATCAGGCAAAGTGAACGCAGCGAAAAGCAGGGTCCTCGTATTTGACAAATTGGGAGGTTCAGAGTTCCAAGTAAATCGCAAATGGTTCCATCACCACATATCACATCAATGTCTTTGCTCACATCGCAGTGTTGAGTATTTTCAGAGCCATCAGCAGAAACTCATCACTGCGGGCCCTGCGGGCATAGTTCACCGGTTTTGTGTGGTGTGGCAAGATGGGGTCCTCCAGACACATCCTCATCATCCTCCAGTTCTTGCTGAGGCCGGACAAAGTTTCTGGACTTCTCGCAGCTGAGCAGTGGCTCGAAAGACTCTGCAACAGCAAGTGCAGGCCGCCTGGCCTGATGTTTTGACTAGTGTGGGAGAATGGTTTCCGTATGTGGGAATGGTTCACGGTGTGTTTTTGTTCACATCTCTTTCACATCCCCATATACTTTTTCAATAGCCGAACAGATAAACACAATTGGTCGCTATGTGGACGCGGTATGCCTCTGGAACATTCTGGAACTATTTTTGGATGAACATCCAGCCAGACAGGGGTGATTTTGGTGTACTCAGGGTCCAGGGTTTGGACCCGTAGCCACCTTCTGATCTGCGGCGCAACATGCTGTTCGAGCTGCTGCTCAGGCCAGATGTGATGTCGTACATGCCGCCAGAGCCTTGACAAACTGATGTATATCTCTCGACTGACAAGTTCCAGCAGATCTTTTCAGTGGTTCTCTCCTGGCAACTCGTTCATGTTCTACGAGTCATGTCGTAGTGTGCATATCAAACTTCAATTGCAGTTTCTGGAATCGAAATGTGGCTATGGGTAACAATAGCTGCCACGGATTTTGTATTTATTTCTCTTAGATCAGCTAATGTTGAAGGATGTTAAAGGTCCGCAGTAGTGAGAGGCTTAGATAGTTTAAAATAAATACAGCTGAATTGGCCATCTATAGCCATCTATGTCCATCTATGCTATCAGTGACGAGGCTGTTGATTTTATGTTCCCTACAGCCGCATCCAGGCTTTTAAGTGGTTATGCCAGATGTGGCGCACCAGAAGCTCAGCATGAGGGTGGCGAATGTGTCTCCACGTTCCGAATGCATTGGTTGGTGACCACCATTCCGGTTGTTCAGTTCAAATATGTTAAAATGGCAGTGTGTCAAAACCTTGTACCCCTGGTGAACATCAAAATAGCTGGTAAATGGATGTTCATCCCACTAAAAATTGTATTAATAGGTATTGATCCATACCCAAATAGCCTCAAAAATGGTACAGTTCGTCCATGTTCAGCAAAAACGGAGGATTCAACGGAGGATCTCAACATTCAACGAAGCCGGTCAGGGGGCTGATGTGGGCTGAAGCTGAAACCCTGGAAATTGAGGAAAAAGTCTTGGAATATTTGAAGAAGATGCTCAACTCTAGCGTGCTCCAGCTCAGATAGTTCTCCGCCAGGATCCGGATCGCAAATTCGTCTTGGTAGCATTTTTCCACAGCTTGAAGATGAACATCTCGGAATTTGGAAGCAAGGATTTTTATGGATTTTTAGACTGTGAGTAAAGCACAACAATGGGTGGTGTTTGGGATTGGGCAGGTCGAGCCGGATCAGAAAACTTGGCTGGTTTGCTCGCAGGCCAGGATAGGAATTGGAATGAAATGGAATGAATTGGAGAAGCCAAGCTAAAAAAATACAGTGACCACATTCTGTCCATGATTCCCACAGGTGAATGAAGGAGTCCTGGACTCAGAGCCTTGGTTTTTGCTCGGGTATCATCAAACATTGCGCAGGCTGCGAAATCCCCCATTTTTTGTAAATTGACAAATCATGGAAATACACGGGTGATGTTCCATTGCCTATATCAAAAATTGCCAGAGGATATAGGAAATTCATGGAAATTGATGGAAATTGATGAAAATTGTATTCCTTCATAGATTAAACATATTACACATTAATCGCAGAAATTGATTTGAACACTTCTGAGGAACATATTCCAGGAAATTCCACGGCGAAGGCCATCCAAGAATTGATTGACTTGCGAGACAACAAAATCTTAACATCAAATATAACATATATATATATTATTGTAATAATAATAATTATTAATTATTATTAATTATTATTAATTATTATTAATTATTATTAATTATTATTAATTATTATTAATTATTATTAATTATTATTAATTATTATTAATTATTATTATTATTTATTATTAGTATTAAATTAAATTATATTATATTATATTATATTATATATATATTATAAGTTCTGAAACTATTGAACATGCATCCCCCTTGGAATTTCCTCTAGGAAATCAATGAGGGGGATGAGGGGGGAGGTCACAAAACATACTTTTTTTCTACTATGTTCTGTGCCTGAAGGGTGGACGCATTGATTTTCTAGAGACCTTAGGTGCATTGATTTTCTAGCGATTCTAATAATATTTAATGATTTTAGATTTAATATTTGAAGTTTGGTATAATATATATGTATAGTATGTGTTTTATATAATAAAATAAATATAAATAGATCTATTTTTTTCGACCTGAAAATCGGTAATTATCTAGGATTATAATTCTATTTATCTTGCCTTGTCAAATTATTATTATTATTTTAAATATATATGTAGTTTCTTTTATAATTATATTGGAATTATATTTTTAGGAATTGATAATTCTTTTGAATTTTATTTAAAGAAAAGAATGATTTGATTTCTGGAACTGATGTTATGATATTTGAAATGAAAGAAATGAACAAGATGCAGCCCACGAACCCGAATGCAGTTACGTAAAACGCTTTTGTGAAACAAATTATTTGAAACATTCTGTACATTTTTCCCCTGTTACCGCACTGTGGAATGTGGAATGGGGTCGGGTGGAGTGCAAAGTGCGGAGTGTGAAGAAAGTGGAGTGTTGAGTGGGGAATGTAGTGTGTAGAGTGTGACGTGGAGATTGTGGTAAAGTGTGGGGTGTAAAGTGTGAAGTGTGGAGTGTAAAGATGTGTATAGATGTGTAAAGTGTAGAATGTGAAGTGTGGAGTATAAAGTGTAGAGTGTGGA